CCGAAGTACTGATATAGCATAGTACCATCAGCCATTTCAATGTTTTCATCTGCAAAAAAAAGTTTTATTGTCAGCAGAAAGATTTCTTATATCAAGAGCAAAAACAGAAACCTTGTTCCATTCCAACATTTTTATCTTTTCAAAAAAAGTTAGAATTACACAAATCTTTCTGATTAAAGAAAAAAACCTTGGTCCATTTCTTCATCTGTGAAAAAATGTTTGAGTTGCAGCAGAAATATATTTTGACTGAGCCAGAAAAAGAAATACCTTGCTCAATCTCATAGTCTTCTGTTTGAAAAGTTTTTAGTTCCAAGAAACATTGTCGTAAGCAAGAAATACCTGAAACTTTGATTGAACTTCTCATGTCATCCAGATAATTGTTGACAAGAAGGTTCTTCTTATCAATCAAAGTAGCATACCACTGCATAGCACTTCCAAAACGACGACACAAACTATTCTAAAGTAAAAGAACTTTTCAGCAAGGAAAAACATTGACAGAAAACAAATAAAACATACCCAAGTTGTTAACTTGTATCTTCTGTTTCGAAGAAAGGTCTCCAAGGTTTCACTTCAGTCACCCACCTTGACCAAGCTATTAGCCTTGTAAAATGTAAGAATGTATCCAGGCTAATAGGTTGTGTGACCATTTATTTTTTTGCCTTTGGGAGAAAATATAATATTGGATTGGGTAGAATATGTTTGACCTTTAATATTATGACCAGAAATGTTTGGGTACATAAATTGTGTTCAAAAATATCCTAGTCAAGTGAAAGTGGTCAGAAATGTTTGAAGGGTGTCAGACTGGTAAGAAATGTTTGAAGTGTGTCAGACTGGTAAGAAATTTTTGAGCTAAGTCAAACTGGCCAGAAATGTTTGAGGTGTGCCAGAGTGGCTAGAAATGTTTCAGTGGTGTGACATCGCTCAGATATGTTCTAAGCATGTCACACTGCTGAAAAATCTTTTAGCCTTGTCACATGGCTCAAACATATCTGACCAGTGTCACAGGGTATCTGGGGTCCCAGTTTCAAGAAAAAAACTTGGTTTTTCTGGTGCAGTTTTCTCAATATTTTGTACATTGGTTTTTTTCCCCTCAAAACTCATCTGAGTTTGTTCTCACCAATACCCTGCTTCTATCTGCCATGTTCACCAATCTCAGATTGTCTTCACCAACACCCCACTTCTAAGGTAGACGACTTTCATAATCGTCAAACGTCATGTGACCAATGTGACAGCTGCTAAAAAGGGTAATGTTTCACAAAATTCGACTGTATATATAATTCTAGGGGTCCTATTGTACCATAAGAACCTAGCTTTTGTAGATAAATATCCTGGACACATGAATCAGTAAAAAAATTGGAACAAAGTTCAGTTTTGGTAAAGGAGATAGAAAAATACAGTCACCATTAGTATACAACTAATTAAGCCCCCTTGCTGTCATGTCGTGTCTCCAAAAGCATTTTTATCTACCTCATACTCGCAGTTAGGTCCTGAAGATTCATGGATGCATATGAAAGAGGCTTAGAGGCTTGAATGGTCAGTAGGCGGCATGGTGCAGCAGTGGCGCCTGAGTGTGGCGTAAATACAAGGGGCATTGTTCTCCCAGATAAGATATCATGAGGGAACTGGGAAAGAAGGGAATTGTTCAAACCCATGTCACACAACATTTAGCATACTTATCTCATTATCTGATCCAGCACTGTTAATAGTCTGTTATATTAAGTGTCAATTTTGAAAATGCATAGGCTCAGTCAGTTTTTCTCCAAGTTGCTCAATTTTTTGCAGAGGCATTGACATTAAGTAGATCTATGGAAACTAGGTCCGTACTGCATTCAAAATCGAGTAGGAAGAGCTCAAATTATTTCTCAGTTGTTTTATTACCTGATTTGATCAAGATGTAACAGTAAAGTAATGGCATGTGACGTTTGACAATTATGAAAGTCGTCTACCTTATCAGTCATGTTCACCACTCTAAGGTTGTCTTCACCAACACCCCACTTCTATCTGTCATGTTCACCACTCTAAGGTTGTTTTCACCAACACCCCACTTCTATCTGTCATGTTCACCACTCAAAACTCATCTAATCCCCAAAACCCCTGCTCAGTGTCTCTCTCACCATCTTTCTCTCTTGCATTGGGCCTTGTCATATGATTCCATTTTTTGACCACCGTCTCCTCCACCTCTGCCTCTACTTCAGCTCCCAGATCTCCAAGTGCATCTTACCATCCCCCCCAGTCAAACCCCCACATGTCTTAACTTGTAGACCAAATCTGAAAGATATTATGAAGATTTCTTAGCCAGGCAAACATGTGGAGTGAGTGAGAGATACTTCACAAATTTAAATATTTCTTTGCAACTCAAACATTTCTTAACCTGTTAAAAATATCCAAAAGATAGCATAAAGATTTCCTAGCCTGGCAAACATATCTGCACTTGATGAGAGATATCTGACAAATATTTCTCTAGAACTCAGACATGTAGAAAATATCCAAAAGATATCATAAAGATTTTCTTAGCCAGGCAAACATATTTGATCTTGATGAGAGATATCTGACAAATATTTCTTAGCCAGGCAAACATATTTGAACTTAATGAGAGAAATCTCACAGATATCTCTTTGGAACTGAAACACTCTTGACTTGGAGAAAATATCCTGAATCAGATAAACATCTTTAAGAAACTTTCTTTAGCCAGCCAAACCTTTCTGACTTGATCAGAAATGTTTCCCAAGATATATTGGGTAGCCAAACATTTGTTA